GCCAGGAATGTTCCCCCACCCTGCAGATGTGCCTGTGCTCTCTCACTGGGACAAATGTACAAGCCAAAGACTAAACCCTAAGCTCCTTAAGGAGACCTTTTAATACCCATGTGCTCTCCTTCCCTCTGCAAGAGCCTGGAAAAGCACTGGGGAACAGCAGTTTGAGGGCAGCACAGGGAAAACACTCTGCAAACAGAAAACACTTCCCTACAGCCACAACCTGCTCACTCTACCCCCCTGCTGAGGAGCCTCCACTTCTTCCAGATAAAACCTGCAAGACTACAGTGTGGGGTCACAGGGGCTTTTGACTCCAGGTAGATCCTTTCCTCCAGCTAATCTGCTTTGTAACGAGATCAGAGATCAGCCAAGCACTCAGCATCCCTGGACACCTCTGTCCTCCAGGAGCACAGAGTAACTCCAAATCCCCAGTGAGGTTTGGTGTCAGGAGCAGCTCAGCCAGGAGAAGGACAGAAATAAGCAACAACATCCAAATCCCCCCCTGAGTTTAGGCCTGACAGAGCCAGGCACACCCACCTTCCAGGCTCTCCTGAGCATCTGGAGACATGCTCCCATTGTGCAGCTGCTCCTGCAGGAACTGGATGATGGAGTAGGCAAGACGCTTCTGGTCTGCCATGCTGGGAGGGCTCAGGCTCCACTCCTGGGGCTTCCAGAGATCCTGCAGAGAGAGGAAAGCTGGGGCTTGAGGGACTGGATGAATTTGGGGGAATAAGGAGTTGTTCAGGACCTGAGGATGAATTCTGAGGGATAAGGGAGTTGTTCAGGATGAATTCTGAGGGATAAGGGAGATGTTCACAATGAGTTTTGGGAGATAAGGGAGTTGTTTACAATGAGTTTTGGAAGACAAGGGAGTTGTTCAGGATAAATTCTGAGGGAAAAGGAGTTGTTCAGGGTTGGCAAAGAACTCTAAACCCTTCACTAAATGCTGCACCCAGGACCTCCTTTAAGCACTCCCCCGGCCTGGATTCCCCCTCTGCCCATCCCAGTCCTGTCCCAAAAGGCTCCTTTAGAAAGGGAGGCACAGCAAAGCTGCTGCAGGTGTTTGGGTACCAATCCAGTTGGGCCAAGACCAGACAAACAGTCCTGAGGAGTTCACCACGAAGAATTCCCACTTTTCTGCCCCCAGAGCATAACTTGGTGCTGAAGCCAAAGCCAAGGGCTGCAGGAGTTTGTCCCTGGGAGCAGAGCTGGGGTTCCCTGGCAGGGAAAAAGCAGGGAGAGGCCCAGGCAAAGAAACCCCAGAGCTGGGAATTCCCAGAAATCCCTCCCACAGAGCCCCTGAAGGACAAGAGCCACAGCTGCTCACTGCCAGCTCTGCCTCGGAGAGCCCAACTGGGTTTGTAGCACATCCAGTGCCACTGATTGGGGAATTAATTGATTTACGCAAAGCCCAGCACAGCTAAGCCAAGCCCAGCCCACCACGAGGCGCCGGGGGCAGCGCC